AACATCCACTCGTCTTTTAGGTCTCCGCATTCACGGGTCCCTTCTGAGGGAGGCCTAATTTCCTAGGATGGGTTAGACCCCTTCCTCACAAGCGCTCACAGTGGCCTGAACATCCCCTTTGGTAAAGCCCATCACCCTTGTTACAGCTCAGTATACGTCTTCCCTGCCTGACTTCAAGTTCCCTAAGGGCGGAGGCCATGTCTGACTTGCTCACTGCCTGGCACACTGTGGAAACTCAGAGCTGTGAGCCTGAAGGGGACAGAGGGACTGAATGGCAGTGGAGATTTGGGAGAACCAGCTCAATTCCTTTCGCTTCCTATTCCAAACTCTCGTTTCATAATGCATCATGATCTCTGCTACTGTATTTCTAGACCCAAACTCAAAAACTGTCCCCAGTCAGGTCAGATGTTACCTGGAGAAACAAATCTAGCCATTCTCTAGCAGATGTTCTTTTAACGAGAGTTTTCATAAACCTCACCTTCTGAAAAGGGAAACTTACGCCTCTGGGGAGTTATCCAAGCTCACGCTGAATCACATAGCAAAGCCAGAAATAAAACCCAGAGTCAGCCGTTCCAAGATGGTACCTGATCTTCTTAGAGGAATAAACAAGAGGCAACAGGCTTGAACACTGATTCCCTAGGAATGTTCATCAGATGTGGACTTATAGACTGCCTGCAGTGAACACGTGGTATCTGGGAGACATTAAAGCAGGATGCGCTCTTCAGGAAAAGGTTTTTATAAAAAGGAACAGGAAAACACAAGTACCATCTGGATTTATAATTAATATTGCAAAAAATGATTTGAATTAAATTCTGGATTGTGACTCCTAAACTGGCTTACCGAAGCGCAGTTAGCTTCAGCCAGTCAGAATCAGCTTATTGTATCACAATCTCTCGGTAGAGGACACAGCACAGCTCTTTAGCTGCAGAAAACACAAATGTCTTTGGCAAAACCCTATGTTCCAGTCCCATGAGAAGCCACTTAAAAATGAGTAAGATCCACGCTAAATTCTTAGGTACACAGCCACACAGCAAGAAAGTTCAAATAAAAGCCAAGCTCTTAGCCTGCAATGCTGAAGAATGAAAGCCAAGCAATTAGAATTGAGAAAATGGATGACATAATCGCACAGCAGGAGACTTAGATCAGTCACAGCACGGAAATTACCGTCTGGGTGCTGGGAATAACCGACATCTTTTTACCTGGGATGGTTCAAGTACAGTTCAGTATAGCAAGGGTGGGTGGGGAGAGGCTCCATAAACTCCCAAAGCACTTTCCAGTCTGGGCTCTCTGAAAACATAATAAGTAAACTACCTCTGTGAAGAAGTGCAGACTAATGGAAGAACTGTGAGTGTCTTTTCTAAATATTTAGGGCTCACCTCACCAGGCAGCTACCAAATAATCATGTACTTCATATTTCTTTGAAATGTTCATTTTTTCCACAGTGTTGTCCCAAGCACCATCATAAAATTATTCTAGGAAGTGAGGCAGAGCAGACTGTTTCACCAAATCTCTTCCTGTATATTAGTACAAAGGAGTAAACATAAGAAAAATCACTTTGCTAAAATTTCTAATCAAAAATAATTGTTGGCGAGGCTTTTGTTTTTCCTTTCCCTGCTGTTTTTTCATTCCCTTTTATTTTTCACTTTTACAAAAATGTGTAATTTCATCTAGAAATGGAGTATCTTGATTTTAAAGAAAACAAAATGAATTGAAAAATAAACATCCTTCCCCAAGGAGAGAGGACAATCTGGGAAGAACGCCCAACCAGGACCACTAATAGATGGTCTCGTGTTATTCCTGCAACCTGGGAGGTGACCTCACATACCTGAGCGGCTCAGGAAGAAAATTTGTCAAAATGTCACATTTCTACATCATCAATCAAAGCTCAGTAGAATTTTCATCACAGTGAATCAACAGTCCAGTGTTCAGACAGACTCGGACATGATTTCGGTGGATGGAATACTTGACTTGTTCTCACAGGTAAGCCTTAATCATTCTGTCTCTGGCTTCTCCCAGTTCTAAAATTAAGATATCTTTTGATCCCTTCCTTTTTTGCTAATAGAAGCTTAAAGATTAAATGAAATGTCTAAACCGCTTCCAAAGGAGCCGCTGTGGCCACAGTGGGAGGGGCTGGCTGGACTGCAGAAGGAAGTGTGCTCCCCCCAGAGCTGCTGCTTGGGGCCAGGGGACCACCCGAGAGCCGAGGACGCTGTCCGTGCACCAGGCCTTGATCTGCTTGGGAATTGTCAACGGCACAGAATAAATGATTTTCCTCACGTGTCATCTACCAGGTGTTGTTCAGGATGATTCAAACCGAGAACAAGAGACTTTCCCCATGTGCAAGCGGATTACTTAAGAGTTACAAGCAACAATCTCCTCAAGAGTCCATTAAGTTTGAGCTGAAAACTTAGGTTTAAATAATGCAAGGGGGAAATGAGACACAGAAATCACAGAAACAAGTATATGGCATACGCAGACAACCAAGACCTGCTACGGAAAGCTTTAATCACCACATGTAAAAATAATATTTTCATATATCAAAAATGGGTGCAAATTCTTTATCACCATCACAGTCTGAAAATGAAAGCTGCACTAATACAAAACCTTCCTGCTCATAACTGCAAGATTTATGAAACTGTTTCTTATAAACACGTTTTTTTTTTTAATCCTGAGGCTCATAATACCAGAGTGAAAAGAAAAATTACTATCAGCTGGAATTTATTCAGTATATTATAGAATGTTTAAGAACATTTATTCTTTAACCTGGAATGCCTTGTCTTCACTCTTCCATCCATACTATGTGATGACAAGAGGAAAAGGTGACAAATGGTTGTGTCCAGTCCAGGATATATACTGATTTTATGATTCTCAACTCTATCTACTGATCAAAACAAAGAAACCGAATTTTAACACCAATTAATGACACTATCACATCGAAACAAACCATCAAAATTCTTACAAAAGGGTAGTTGATAGTACATTCTCAGGCAAGAATAACAGCACAGTTCTTTCTTACAATGTTTATTGCAGTGCACTCTACTTACACAGGAGCCAACCAGTTAAGTTCAGAGCTCCTACAAATCTTGGCTCTGGGATCTTAGTCACCTTGAGAAAAGATCTGCACATGTCTAAAAGAAAAACAACCCCCAAATGCTACAACAGTTATTCCATTCAAGTGATGGAAGAGGCAATCGTGTTAAATTGGAAAAAAAGACAGTCATGTTGAAATGGGCACTATTTTAAGATTTTGGGTATGTAAATAAGAAATAAATAACACACAGAGGTTTTC